GAGTTTGATGTGGATCCGTATGACGATCCTGAAGGTGATGATCTTCCTCTGGACTGTGGAGATATGAGGGTTCCATCCTGTAAATATTCACGAGATAAGAAATCTGGCAGAGAATTATCAATTCCCTTTTTGTATTGTATTTCAAAATCAAAAAGAGGCTAATTGAGCCTGCCATCTTGCAAATATTATTTTTGAGGCATCATGTTTAAAGTCTTTGTTAAACATATATTTAACAGATTGTGCGTCAGTTTTTATCAAAAACTTTTGATTGTATAAATCGTCTTGAAATTTTAAAACACATTTTACTATTGTTAACATTTCATGTGCCACAATAGCGTATTTTCTCTGGGTTTCAGACCATTTACCAGAGTAGAATCTAATCAGATATTCATGCTTATTATTGGGATTTATTTGTTTCAAAATCCCTCCGTAACTAATATTAGACGCATCAGTCTCGATAATCTTTTGCCATGCAGGATTAGTAAGGGTCAAGCAAGCTAAAGATTTAACACGTTGCTTAATATTTTTAACCAAAGTAGTATGACTATCAGTCCAAGGGTTTTTCTAATCCTTTTTTAGCCTATCATATAAGGGGGCTAAATCACGCGATAAATTTTTATAAAAAGGCGATATATAATTTAAACTTCCCAAAAATCTTTGTAACTGAGTTCTATCAGTAATAACATCGGGAAAATTTGAAGCAAAATCGATCGATCTTTGAATAGTAGTAATCTTTCCTTGACAAATATAATGTCCTAAAAATCGAATGTTAGTTTGGAATAAACTCATTTTTTGTTTTTAGATAACCAAACCATTTTGTATAACAATTCTTTTAAAAATATCTAAATGCTTAATAGGCATTTCAAGTGTTTTGAAAAATACCAAAATATCATCGATATAAACAATGATAAAGTTTAGATAGCGGTTGAAAATATCATTCATAATTTTTTGGAATTCAGAAGGGGCATTCTTCAAACCAAAAGGCATAACATTCCATTCATATTGCCCAAATGGAACATTAAAAGCAGTTCTATATGTATGTTCTTTAAATATTTGAATCTGCCAATATCCAGATTTTAAATCAAATTTTAAAAATATATTGGCATCATATAATCTTGACAATAAATCTCTTTTATTGGGAATAGGATACCTGACCCACTTCAAATATTTATTCAAGGGTTTATAATTAATGACCAATCTAGGAATACCACGTTCCTTTTCAGTTGCGTTATTAATATAAAAAGCTGTGCAAGACCAAGGAGATTTTGAGGGTTTTATCAAACCCTTTTGTGACAAATTATCAATCTCTTTTTTGCAGAATTCCACTAATTTCGCGATCAGCTGACAAGGTCGAGATTTAGTAGGAATATCATCCTTAGAGAAATTATCTTCATAAGGCAGAGTGACAATATGCTTTTTTCTATTCCAAAAAGCACTGGGATGTTCTGCACAAATATCAATAGCAATATTTTTGGNATTTTCGGAAATCAATTTGATCTTTTTCTGTACTTTAGTAGAATTCAAAGTATCAAATATATTCATACTAAACAATTTTAACTGCAAAGAATCAATATGTTTCTGCTTCATATCAATTAAAGTATTAATATCTCTAGTTACTGGATCTGTAACAAAAGTATAACTTATCTCTTTATCCTTATAAGTAGCAGTAAAACCTTTCGAGTCTATGCTAGTAAAAGGATAAATGTCGTTAATAAACGGTGTTCCAAGTATAATAGGAGGGTATAACTGGTTTTAACCAAGAAAAAGAAGTGAGGAATACAGGCTTTATTATGACAAATACCCGTATTAGGTAATTTATACTTTATATCTAAAGCATGTCCGGATGCAGATCTAACCATATGCNTTTTCAACTTCAACTTTTAAATCATCGAAAGAAGAATCTCTTGCTGGAGTTGTATTTTTATTTAAAAGACGGTTATTAACCTCTAGCAAAGAATAAGGCGGGGAATATTCAAATTCTTTTTCAAAAGGTTTTGTAAAACTAGAACTTGAACTTGTAGCTAAATTTATAATTTTCTCACGAAGATTTTCATCAGTAACTTCTTTTAAAAGTTCTATCACATTATCAGATGTAATAGTTTTCATGTTCAAATCTTGAAACTGTGATTGCAATTTATAAAATTCATCATCATCACAAGTACATGTATTACCTTTGCAGGCAGTACAAGTATTATCAATATTTTTATCACTATTAGATAAATCAAGTAAATCTATTTCAGCTTCGGATTCTGACTCAGAATAATAATAATCAGATTCTGATCCAGAAGTGTATAACAAACCATAAACCTTATCACGTAACTCATTGTCTAGTTCTAAGGTTTTTAGCTTTTGAAGCTTATAATTCGGGGCTATATGGCCAAATTTACCACACTTGTAACACTTAATGTCAGCAAGATCTCGCTTAGACCTATTTTTGGTAAATCTAGTAGCCTTACGATAGGCTTTCTTGGCATCACGCTCTTCTTTGGATCTATATCTAGATCTCTTTTTCTTATAAGGACTATCTAAGTTTGGGTATCTGTGATACTTGTGTTTCTTCTTCATATGAGTAGAAATCTTTGGTAGACCGAACTGGGTACAAAAATCTCCTAAATGATATTTTTCCTTAAGCTTATCCATCTTAAGCTGTCTGGATAACTTTAACTCATTGCACAAGTTTAATCCTTTTTGTGTGCATATTCCTATCAACTTACCATAGGTATAATTGTTGTACGTGATTTCACCAAAACTACCTTTTAGAGTGTTTCTAACTCTTTCAGCAAATAAGGAGGGAAAGCCATCTATAAACTTGGCTTTCCAATGGTCAAATTTATTTTCGGGTAGTTCCATAACCCTACTCATAAAGGTATCTTTATACCATCTGAATTCACCTAAGGTCCTACATCTAAGACCATTAAGGAGAGTACGAACTGTCTCATGCTGGTTGGTAAATCTACCATTGAAGTGTTCTAATATAGAAAGAATAAGGGTGTAAACGACATCCTCTCTATTTGCCACTAGAGCCATGCCTAAGTTATCAATTCCTTCGTCAGTGGCTTTAGCATTAATAACCATTGCCCTTTCTTCGAGAGTCAAATAATTATCCCACCAGCCACGAAGTTGGCCAGTAAAACCTGCAACAATCATTTTGCATATAGTTCTATCTGTATTTTTCATACTTTTACAGATAGTCGCATACATAAGCATTCTATACACAAGAATAGTCAATTGTCTATCAGTCAATCCATCAAGATTCCATTCGTAAATTTCGGAACCACTATAAGACGTATTAGTCTGATTCCAATCACGTTCCTCTATTAAAACATCTTGAGGAGTAGGACAATTGTAATAATAAGTTTGCATTCTGGGTTTATCAGCATATCTACTATCAGCAAACTTACTATTCTTTTTGGGATAACCTCTGAGTTTATTAAACTCTGACCAAACATCATTTTTATAGTCAAAAGTAGTATCTAATTTATTAGAAAAATCTTTTGATAAATCAATGAGTTTGATATTCAAACTGGATAACTTTTTATCAAGAAGTTCTTCTAAATCATAAAAAGATCTAAATTTAAAATCCTGAATCTCAGGGGATCTTTGAACATGAGTAAGAACAGTTTGAGGTTCTCATTTGCTTGTAGAGGCAATATCAGTCAAAATCTTACTAGTACTCAAATCCTTAATCAAGACTGTCAAATCATCAAGTTTCTTATTAAGAAAACTGATGTTTTCACCCAAAACTTTAACATATAAACTCAAATAATTATTTTGTGAAATTAATTTATTAATTTCTCCGATGCTAACTGCAGCAACATCTTCATAAATAAATTTTTGAAATGCAGTAAAAGTAATACCTGTATTATTAGGTAAAACAAAAGGTGCTTGAGGAGGGTAAATGACTTTAGTTATATTGCCACTCCCGTCTTTATAAGATCTTTCCAAAACTTTTATAAAAAGTGGTAAATAGGTGGTTATAAACCAAGGAACAAAATACATAATTTAACAGGATTAATACTTTATCAAATGCTTGGATATAATCCCAATAGGTAAAACTCATTCGAAATTTGTTAAGGCTTATCTGCCTTTCTTTCATTGTGGATATACCTCAGTCTTCAACAAATATAATCTGTGTAATTATAATCTTCTAGAAGTTACAAACATTCTCGTCTGTGCTATAACCAGAAAAGTGCTGAAACTCTGCACTGCCAGTACTGGTGAGTATTGTTTCANCGAAGCCACTAAGGCAAAGCCAATAAGAGCAGTGTTATATTAGACTGTACCAACCATCTTGACACCAAGTCAAAACTCTATATATAAAGTTCATTTATATTTAAATAGATGTCGTCTCTTTCATGGTTTATATAGGAGAGAAGTTAGATACTCAACATAGATATGAAGTCTCTTAGCCGGACATCGTCACGGCCAGAGAGGAGAGACTAGAAGGAAAATTAACTAAGAAAGAAATCAATACCTTTTGGCCGGGATGCAAGGCCTGAAGATAAAGAACTGAAAACTTTATTTACTTTGTTCTTCTGTTACAAACTACAAACTCTTAATTACACTTGAAGAGAGAGAGAGAATTCTAGAGAGAGAGGGTCTCTCTTCCTTCCTCTTCTTCTGAACGAATGAAACGTATAAATAGAAAAGAAAAGAATCTATGAACAGTAAAAGTGGATCCCGTGGGTCCCTATTACAGTATTTTTACTATAAAAAACAGTATTTCTACTGTTGATGAACAGTGTATATATTGTTGATGAACAATGTATATACTATTTGAGTGGGGTCCGGCGGCTTCACTGTATTGTGGGTCCGGCGGCTTCACTGGGCTTGTGGGGTCCAGCTGTTTCATGGTGCTGGTCTTTTGTCTGATTCTTTCATTTTGCGGAGGAATTCTTCCGCATTCTGCAAATCTTCATCAGATAGTATTTTCTCTGATTCAAAGGGTTGAGAATCTTCAGCGATATCATCGTTGCTGGTTTCACTCTGCATAGAAGTGTCTGATTTCTCATATTGATTAATGGAACGAAGTAAATTTCTTTTGACTTCTTCTAAGTAGTTATTAATCATTTCTTCTTTATCTCATTCCTGAAAGGAGATCTTTCTGGCAATATGCCGTACTGAGCTGTCATCAATCACCTCTTTCTGAGGTTTGCTGGAATATTCTTGGATTTTTATTTTGATGGAATCCAAGAGTTCTTGACCGCATAATGTCTTCGTTTTGTGATCCTTTTTCATTAGTTTATCCCAAAAATTGTTGTAAAAGGTACTTTATAAGCACGGGACTTATTCTTCGGTGAATCCAACTTCTGGAGTCCATTTATGAATCCAAGGAATAGAGAATTCTAGAAAGAAATAAATCTGGTCAATTTTTTCTGGGTAACAAATATGATCTGTGTGATATAAATCGTTTATAAAAGGGGAAATTTTTATCCATTCTTTGTATAACATGAGAAATGGATCAGGTAAAATTTTTACTGTCGGACCGTGGTATGATCACCAGTTTAGAAACCAATTAGGAATAGTCTCTGCAAATATCTTTGCACATACTTTAATAAACCTAGTATGTTTGTGTCGATCATTATTGTAGTATAACACTTTATCAAATGCTTGGATATAATCCTAATAGGTAAAACTCATTCGATATTTGTTCAGGCTTATCTGCCTTTCTTTCATTGTGGATATACCCCAGTCTTCAACAGATATAATCTGTTTAATTATAATCTTCGAGAAGTTATAAACATTCTCGTCTGTGCTATAACCAGAAAAGTGCTGAAACTCTGCAATGCCAGTACTGGTGAGTATTGTTTCATAATAAGAGCGGATTTTGTATGACTCACCCGGATAATACAATCCATTTATCAAATACCTTTGGAATATCTTCCACGGCTCTTCTTTTCTCTGATACCTATTTCTCTAATACCATTTTAACAGGATCAAGTGGCGGGCGGTAATCCGTCGGCCTTCTTGATTGAGCTAAAACAGAGATCACCGAGTTATGGGAACTGGAATTATTTCACACCTCTGCTAACTTTTAAATGTCCACCGAGGTTTCCACCAGTTAAAGATCTCTTATTTTAACACGATCAAAAATTCTCAATCTAGCTAATTCAGTACCCTTATATTTAAAGGCTGGCGGTAATCCGCACAATCAGTAAGGATATAAGATGCCGTCTCTTTCATGGTTTATATAGGAGAGAAGTTAGATACTCAATATAGATATGAAGTCTCTTAGCCCGACATCGTCACGGCCAGAGAGGAGAGACTAGAAGGAAAACTAACTAAGAAAGAAATCAGTACCTTTTGGCCGGGATGCAAGGCCTAAAGATGAAGAACTGAAAACTTTATTTTCTTTGTTCTTCTGTTACAAACTACAAACTCTTAATTACACTTGAAGAGAGAGAGAGAATTCTAGAGAGAGAGGGTCTCGCTTCCTTCCTCTTCTTCTGAACAAATGAAACATATAAATAGAAAAGAAAAGAATCTATGAACAGTAAAAGTGGGTCCCGTGGGTCCCTATTACAGTATTTTTACTATACAAAACAATATTTCTACTGTTGATGAACAATGTATCTACTGTTTGAGTGGGGTCCGGCGGCTTCACTCTGCTGTGGGTCCGGCGGCTTCACTGTGCTTGTGGGGTCCAGCTGTTTCACGGTGCTAGTCTTTTTGTCTGATTCTTTCATTTTGCGGAGGAATTCTTCCGCATTCTGCTAATCTTCATCAGATAGTATTTTCTCTGATTCAAAGGGTTGAGAATCTTCAGCGATATCATCGTTGATGGTTTCACTCTGCATAGAAGTGTCTGATTTCTCATATTGATTAATGGAACGAAGTAAATTTATTTTGACTTCTTCCAAGTAGTTGTTATCATTTCTTCTTTATCTCCTTCCTGAAAGGAGATCTCTCTAGCAATATGCCGTACTGAGCTGTCATCAATCACCTCTTTCTGAGGTTTGCTGGAATATTCTTGGATTTTTATTTTGATGGAATCCAAGAGTTCTTGACCGTATAATGTCTTCGTTTTGGGATCCTTTTTCACTAGTTTATCCCAAAAATTATTGTAAAAGGTCCTGTATAAGCACGTGACTTGTTCTTCGGTGAATCCAACTTCTGGAGTCCATTTATGAATCAAGGGAATAGAAAATTGCAGAAAGAAATAAATTTGGTCAATTTTTTCTGGGTAACAGATATGATCTGTGTGATATAAATCGTTTATAAAAGGGGAAATTTTTATCCATTCTTTGTATAACCTGAGAAATAGATCAGGTAAATTTTTTACTGTCGGACCGTGGTATGACCACCAGTTTAGAAACCAATTAGGAATAGTCTCTGCAAATATCTTTTCACATACTTTAATAAACCAAGTATGTTTGTGTCGATCATTATTGTAGTATAACACTTTATCAAATGCTTGGATATAATCCCAATACGTAAAACTCATTCGAGATTTGTTAAGGCTTATCTGCCTTTCTTTCATTGTGGATATACCCCACTATTCAACTGATATAATCTGTTTAATTATAATCTTCGAGAAGTTATAAACGTTCTCGTCTGTGCTATAACCAGAAAAGTGCTGAAACTCTGCACTGCCAGTACTGGTGAGTATTGTTTCATAATTAGAGCGGGTTTTGTATGACGCACCCGGATAATACAATCCATTTATCAAATATCTTTGGAATATCTTCCACGGCTCTTCATTTCTCTGAATATCAGAATTTTCTAAAAGAAATATCATTTCTTTTTTAGACACTTTCTCATATGACTTGATATCATCATTGTCATCTTTTGTAATGGAAGCAAAAGTATCACTTTGCTTAGCAAAAGTATCCTTTTGTTTTTGAGCAGTCAAATATGCCTGCAAGTGTGCGTATAACGGACTATCTTCTGGAACATCTTCCAGATGGACGGATGGTCCGATCGATGATTCTTCTCTGAGAGATATCCTCTCATTGGTTTAACTTTTTCTTCCCATTTGTATAACTGGGGATTTTGATGTGGATCTGTATGATGATCCTGAAGGTGATGATCTTCCTCTGGACTGTGGGGATGATCTTCCCCAACCTCTACCTCTTCCCCTACCCCAGGTGTGATGACTCAAAATATCATCTTTAAATTTAATAATTAATTATGTGTTCTAAGACCTC